AATTGGGGGCCTATTTGTACATGCGCGGTCCCATAGAAACAGGCCCTTGGTCGACGTATTGGGTCGTGGTTAGAAAATTGGGGCTTATTTAACCCTTTTATCTGGAGGATAATCCTTGCCTTTTTCTCACTTCTGCATATTCAGGTCTTGTATTTCGTATGTTTCCTATCGTCCAGAGTGAGGCAGAAAGTGATTGACAGGTCTTTTCCCTTTAGACGCAACCCGGACGTTTCACGCCCCAAGTGACCCTTAGTCTGTGGTTATATAGATGCAACACACAGTGGGGACGAGGCACAACTGCCTCGCTTCAAGCCTCGTAGTAACGGTGTCTTTCATCCGGCATGCCAAAAATTGGGTCACATTTAACCTTTCGACCAGGATGATACTTCTTACCCCTTCTGATTTCCCCACATTGATGTCTTGTATTTCTTTGAGTCCTAACATGCGGAGTCGGGCAGAATATGATTGACAGGTCTTTTCTGTATGGTAAGGTGGAGCACACTGTCGGAAAAACCCTAACCCCTTAACTTTTAACCCTTTAACTCTTACCCCTTAACCCTAACTTTAGAGGTAATTTTGCCCAAAAGGGTTATACAGAACATGCGTTTTTACACGTACCACAGGCTACTGATCATTTTCTGATAGGTCAAAAAGGGACTTTTTCCGAATGGTACTTTGTCTTTTGGGGCAATTCCCCATGCCTTTTGTACACACCTTATATTTTGTACATGTCCGGAACATGGGCACATGATAATCCCTTTTAATAACTAAACAAATAAACTTGAGACGTCATACGTCAATGGAAACGTTCACAAGCAGACACTCCTCCATTTGTATAAATTTGGTTCCCAGTGGGGTCGCGGTTCAACAGTTAGCCGATTTAAGTCTCCAACATAGGTTGTGACTGAAGTTTATGCATTTAAACTGTACCTGAACTTTGACCCTTCTGAATGAATAATAGTTGTGGTTATGATCCAAATCTTTATGAAAACGACTTGATTCGTCACACAAACCAAAGTACTGTACATGCAGCCACGGCGTCAGTGAAACATCTTATGGCAACATGAACATGATTATGAATGCTAGTTTGATGAATCTGGCGAGGAAAACCTACTGTAAATGTCATTTTGTAAAGATTTCTTCCCAAATACTTACCTTCATGTATGATTGATTCAGCAGATGAGGTCAGCAATATTGTTCATCTGGATAGAATGGCATCGCAGCTCACACCAAACAAGATCACAAATGATACCTGTAGAACGAAAGAATCATTGACAAATAAGAAAACTATCTCCAGATGAGCTATTGGTAGTATTACAATATATAAAATGTGATGGGATCGCAGAAACTGAGTTAAAGATACAGTTCATTATTTATCATTTGTATTATCAGTATATGTTCCTTCGGAGCAACAAATCTAAAGGATGACTCAGAACAAACCTGATGAAGTTTCTGCTCAGTAAATCTCCAATTGAGATTCCGAAAATTTTACTTGAGGAATACAAAGGTAAAATTCAACATCAGTGTTTTAGGTGGTTTTCCAGTTACCCGATGAAAAAGCAATCTGAAAACGTACTACTGCTTACATACCCAGGTCCGTAAATTGCCGGTGTCCCATATAATCACAATGCCAAAAATGAAGGTTTGACCGGGGTTGGCGTGGAAGTTTTGTTGTCTATAAATCGTTAATGACCTCTGCATTGCATGCAATCTTCACCGATGTATACAGATTTTTGTTTCGTTTGATGGCAGTTACATTAATTGTAAAGAAACGATAAATATAAGACCCCACAGCGCCATCATTACACTAAAAAATAAACATCTTGGACACTGTAGCTTTCAAACGCTTTCTTTATGGTAGACTACGACAGCAGAACGTTTTCTCAATTTTCGGAATATCGGGCGGTTCTGCAGTATTTCGCCTCTTTCAAAAAGGCCATGCAAGTGAGGTATCAAAAAGACGGAAAGCACAAAATCAATCGATACTTACCAAAGAATTTAATAACAGAAAGTTTAATAACAACTCATTCGAATTCATACACACATTTCTTCTCTTATGCAAATGAGGTACAAAAAGGGCGATAACTAGGTTCTTTTTGAATGAAATCCACCAATAGATTTACTACATAGTGTTTAGTACACAAGCTAAAACTACGATATGAGGACAGAAAAGGAATTCTGGTTTAGTAGTAATTCTATTTCCTTACTTACGTCAGGCATCTTGTTTCTCTCGGCAATTTAAAAGCAAGCATCAAGAATCTTATAAACTCATACATTTGGTTTACTATTAATGTCATTAGATCTGTGATTCTTTTAAATAATCTAGTTGTGTCTTACAATGTATACATTCAGAGTGCCAAGGACGCCTGGGAAAATGAGTGACAGAGACTCGTACTGCAACTTGTGAGAACAACTTTAAGATTAATGCATCAAAGGACGATGTCATACTCTCGTTATTTTCCAAGGATGATAGAGGGCGGCGTTCCTTACTGATAGTATTGGCTTCTTCGAGCCTCAGGGAACCATATCAAACACGTACATGTACCAACCCTTATGGTAATGAATAATGCAGGACTGCAATTTAGGTTCATATTCCATGCTTTCTAAGTGCACCCACGTCATGCTTTCCTATCCTACAGCGTTCAACGCATCAGCCATTACAGGCACGTTGGTGCACACGAACCCGGCAGTACCGCATAATTACAGACGTATACGTACGCACGTACGACGGTAGAGGAGGAAGATGGGGAAAATAACAAATCTTGCCATTATTTTTAATGGTGATGTGGACGTATTCTCACCTGGTGACATTATCAAAGGGCAAGTTATTCTTCAAATCGAGTCAGCCACAGAACGAGGCTTGGAAAACGTTAAAGGTAAATTAACTGACAGGCGCGTTGACAAACCTACGATACTGCAATCTGTACATATAGGTTGATGACACGGTGAATTTAATTTGAAAAGACAAAATAAGGGAATATGACGTTGAAAAAAATCGGCGTGTGGAAATGAGCGACAATACCCGAGCAATGGAAAAACGTTCAGAGTCGAATTACGTTATAATGGTTCAGATTTCATACGCACATATATATAAAACTTTGCATTCCGTTATAATATTATGTCACCTGAATAGTCAGAGATAATTGTTAAAAAACCTCAATTGTGAAATTTAGCTGCTAATAAAGAATAGAAATGCAAGTGTTGAGTTTTCTATTTCGTTATAAAGGTATATGGTTGCAGTTTAGAGGCGAGTCAAGAATTGAAATAAAGAGGAACAACCAACTTCGGGACGTGTTAGATGAAGGTTACTTTGACACAACTCAAGTTTTATTTGGAACAGGTATTTCTTTACAAGTTAACATTTCAGTTGTAAGAGAGGAATAATTTCTTACCTTACCACCTAATGTAGTCATTTTTATATCACCGATCAGACAGATCAAGAAGCATGAAAGTCTTCAAGGCGTATAGGTGGATCTCTAATTATTTTTAACACCTGTGTTTCTGTGTACCATGATAGATCGGACGCCGCGGCTTTTGCGATGCAATTTCTTTCTGGGCACGCATCCAGTTGAATGTTTACGAGGCACTTGACCTGAAAAAACACTGAATACTTTATCTTTTGTTTTATGTAAAGGAACCGAGACTCCCGATGTTAAGAACTTAAATGTCCCTTCTGGTCAACAAGTCTTCCCATTCGCAATTCGTCTGCCTGACGATCGTCTCCCAGCAGCATTTGAGGAACAACTTGGCTATGTACGATACAAAGTCAAAGCCACCATTTCTCTGATAAGATATCTGAGGAATAAAGAATACAAGACAGAAAGATATTTCAGCGTGATTGGCCCTAAAGTGGATTTGAACTCTATGTCCGGTTTACAGGTGTGTAGGTGATCCAAACAAGACCGTGCTTTCGGGCACTCAACAGTTCAAAATTTCTCGACAAGCATGACGATCACTAAGTTCACAATGGTATATTTTATTGGAAACAAAGTAAAACTGGCGCCAAACGTTTTGAGATCTCTTATTTCCTGCTCAGGAATGTATTTGCTATGTTCATGTTTCAGATACCAGTGACATGTGACGTAACATCACGAGGCTGGTTTGGATGTGGACCTCCTGTTTCTACTATTACTCTTAATTTACCAAAACAAGGTTATGTTCCAGGGGAAAGCATTAACATTACTGGTCGAGTCGACAATCAAAGCGGCAGTGATCAATTTTCCATTCGAGTAAAGCTGATCCAGGTTTGTGCTTATTCCTACACTTAAGAGGGTTGTGCATGCATACTAGTGTGGACCTCTGCACAAAAGAGGTCCACATATTGTAGGATATGAGGGCGTTGTGTGGACTCGCACACGTCCACATAATGTTTTCCCCTTTCTGAAAAACAGTTTCAGAGCCATTTTGGGGTCAAGGTTATCCGTGGCAAGAGGAACAGTCCGGGAACTTTACAAATTCAGTTTCCGGAATAGAGTTTCAACATGCATTTTTAATGAAGTTCCCAAAATGTCCAAGATTACCGTTTTGACTTTTTTCAGGAAGTTAATTTTCTGTTCACAAACTGCACGACGAGCATAGAGCGGGTTTTGGCCAAGATAGATTCCAAGCTTGTTTGTCCGAAACGAAAGGTTTCTCACCTCAGCGTGGGACCACTGCGAATTCCCCCTGTACCGCCCTCGGGACTACCCGGCTGCAGCCTCATCAATATCGAATACTTCATTCTGGTAAGCTGGCCGAATCCAGCTCTCATGTCTATAGACCAAACCAATGGGGGAGGCAAAATGACAAACAGGAAAACTTGTTGCTTCTTTCAAGTTCTTTGGTTTGGTATACCCAAAATAGAACAATAAATTATTACATGTTGGGCGCCTAAACATTCAGATGGGGAGCTATAAATCTATTGGCCCTACCTACAGTCATGTAAAAGGAAAGCGGTGACACGGAGTCGATAATCTCGGCAAATTACGTTTCCTGTCGTAATAATTCAAGATTATTTTTATAGATTAGAGCTTTATCAGATTCAAGCTAAACTGATTTCTGAGTTACTCCGTGAAATAAATTATCGTGTATCAGGAGACCAGGGCAAGTCGTTCTGGATTAGAGTCTGTAGTAAAAACGACGAGAATACAGCACAAGATTATCAGAGGAACTGCATGAATCACTGGATTTTTTATTTTCGTCCGTGTCCAGTGCAAGGACAGGAAATTCCCACTCAAGATTGGAACTGTGCCATTACGTCCAGCTGGGGGTAAGAGGAGACAAAGAGCTCCAGTGGCAACTGGAGGTCAATTAGGTAAGATTCATTGCAGAGGAATAATGAGGATATTAAGGGTGTTGCCCATTGGTCCAACGTACCTCTACATCATGTCAAGACTGCTAACGTTATAAATCTGTCACTGCAAATCTTCAACACATGTTAATCTGCAGCTCTACTGTACAATCGCTGGTACTGCTGCTAACTGTAGAAATAAATCGTTTCCTTTTTTGACGAAGCTCCAGATCAAGACACTGATGATGATGCTCCGCCACGATATGAAGAAGTTGTAAGCGTTACAGACCGACTTGCCTATGAAATCAGCAAAGATGACTTTTTTAGCGGCGGGGAGTTTTTCCCTAGGTATCCATATTTTGAGAGGACGGGAGACCTAGCAGTCGTTTCACATTTAAAAAATCTGTAAAAATCCAAAGAAGATAAAGAAACGACAGATAATTTGAACAAAACAACTATCAATGGGAACTCTGTTACAAATCAAGTCCGAGAATATTCTTTGCATTACGAACACTAGCATTTACAACGTATTTACAAAAGATATTCAGGCAACTAATGGTTTCGAAGAAATCTTTCCATCCAGAGTGTCACTTCTCTTTATTCACTGCTCGACAATTTTAGTAGCGGCTTTAACTGCACGTGCACAATGCGAAAACATCAGTATTAATTTAGAGTTACATTTCACGGCACCTACTCTCCTGGAGAGTGTCTTAGCTTAGATTCCACAACCTTTTGAACTTCAGTGGAAAGTATTTTGGTTTTCTATCATAATACGATGAAGGGATCCTAACAACAGACACAAAATTGACGAGCGGAAAGCTGTATGCTTTTCTATCAGATCATCCTTCATTTCATTTATGTGTCTGCTATTTTGCTGTATCCCTTAACTCAAACAAGAGTCTTCTGGGTAAAAAATCAAGCTGAGAGTGTCTATTATTTTAAATAAGTAAATAAAATCTGTTATCACAACTACAGTAGATTTCAATTATAAATGTTTGTGCAATCATTAATTCCAGCCGTTGGCAAATAAATCCCAAATTAGTATATAAACGAAAAATGTTGGCCGTCAGAAATTTTCACTAAAACGTGAAATGTAGCGCACCACAGATTTCTTTGTGAGTTTTGCACGAAACGAAGTTGGTGAACAAGTTTCAAGTCGGCAAATTGACTATGTAACCTGCCCCCCTTAAGAAAATCCTTCGCTACGCCACTGAGTGCCATGATACCGGGTAAATGATCCATTCCTCAAAACGAAAAGAGGAGAAATGCCGTATTCATTTATTTGGTTTTTAAAGCTGTGTCATATACATGTTTTCCTTCCGTTTTCCTGGTATTCTAACTTTATGAATATTCTAACAAAGGCTAAATGAGATATTACAGTTTTCACTCAGCTACGATTTTATTTCCCTGTTTTCAGGTTGTGATATGCTCCTTTGGTTGATAAAAAAACAAAAGGCAATGCCATGTCCCATGGTTAAGCTGATCCTAATTTAGACATGTTTGTTAGAAAATCCAGATCTGTCGATACAATTAATGATTGATTTGAAGCTACTTTTTTTTTCATTTTAGAAATATTTGAACACTTGTAGACCTTTCTATAGTTCTTCGCAATCAGGCAAATTTTGTTAGACAAAGAGTGCTCCCAATAAATTCTGATATGCGAAACAAACGTGATCACTGGCAAAGTCTTTGCAAGTGAGGCATATCTATACAAAATAAGAGAGCTGCATTTTCGGGTAGGCCTATTAGTTTGAAAGCAGATTAAAATTTTCCAGTATGAGAATATTGTTTAAGTATGATTAAAACCCCTGTGCGTCTAATTTTTATCAGTAAACAACTGCCCAGTAAGAACTTTCATGGAAGTTACTGGACCGGGATTTCCCTCGCAGGTATAATATAACTTCGGTAGTAGGTTTTGGTTTTCTGCGGTATATAAGGTTACCATTCTACAGTTTAGGAATATCCAAAAGACTGCTTGTATAAAACGAAATTCGAAAGGTATGTTTGGGCATTATTACTGTGTCATAAATTTGAAAAACTCTGCTCTGAATTTCTTGTTTTTCTAACTGAAGAAAGATTTTTCCGGATCAATCAGAATTATGAAAAGATGACCTGACACATGCAATATTAATTAATGTTGGAAAATTCAGCCAATTATCTGAAAACGTTTATTGAAAGTATCTTGAAGTATCAGCATGTGAAGTTTACTTTGAAGTCTTGCTCGAGAATTGTGTATTATAAAACCCACATACAATCCCTGTGAACTTATGATAAAACAACTATACGAAATTGACACTTTGTTGAGGTAACCTCCAAAGATTCAATTGAAATTAAATAAACTGGTTATCACTTACAGCCAGCTAAAACTATAGTTGGTTGCAAGTACAGAAGCATAATAGATTAAGTAAAAAAAATCCCACGTAGCTATTAAAATGCCGATTAAAGATACACGTGTTATTAAAGTTTTGCCGTAGATGACATCACATACTAGATGACATGCACAAGCTTTAAGTTTAAAGTTGTATAAGGATACGTTTAAGTAAAACTTTTATTTACTTGAGGTAAGCCCCCAAATGATTGGTCAGAGTGAACACAATCTTACTTTGCCTCAACTATTAAAACTTTTTTTGATAAGAAGTGAAGGCTCTATCTTACTCAGACACGCTCTCTTTTAAAGATTGATTTTGGGAATAAACTTGAGTGATTTAAAAAAAAATGTTTATTCGAGGGTGTGTCATTGTGGGATTTATTTCTACGTGCAGACTGTAGTGGAGCCGCAGGAGGGTAGAAATAACAGGAGGAAAATAAAGTAATGTGGACAAGGGGACCAGCTGCATCCGAATCTATTGCCTAGAGCTAGATCTATGGCTTCACTCCATTAGAAATACGCACAGACACCGAGAAAATAGACCCCGCAGTGAGCTCTGGAAGCCTGTTTCGGACGACACGGCTTGCGATGCGGCTCACTTGCGTACTGCGCAAAATGGGCCTCCTCGTCGTTATTGGGCGAGGGAGGGACAGGAACCGCAAGATCCTGATTGAAAGTGGATACTAATTTTCCATTTTCCAACATACCCTAAGTAAAATTATCACACACTGCTAAAAATACTTTCTACTCTAAAACTTCCCCTCTGAGAATGCAAATTACACAACTTTTTAATGGGGGCCTCCCCCCACTATATTACCTGGAGAGGCCACTGGCCCCCCGGCCCCCACGTCCGTGAACATGGACGCATTTTGCCACCACCTATTCCCTACGTAATGTACATTAAGCATGGCCCATATACATGCCCACTGCTATCTAATCTGTTTAAATAACAGTCGTAAAAACTCTGATAAGCAAAACTTCAAGATGCAGGCAGTCACAGAAGAGACCCTATATAACTTGTCGTTCAACCAAAAAATCCAATTATGTCGGGGAGAAGCTAACGTATACATTAATAGGATCCCCGCTGTGGCTTTTCATTAGATTTCAATTTTTTTTATATTCATGCCTCTCCAAAAACTGAGGGCGCTATTAATGCGAGGTCAATACAGGAAGAAAAAGTTCATTTGGGGGCAGGTCAAATCGCCAACATAAAAAAAATTTATTCTTTTAAATACTTTTACATAATTGCTAGAATTAACTGGGATAACACCTTATTACTAAAGCAAACGAAATTTACAAAAGCAAAATATCCGTAAATGAGGATCACTTAATGTAGAAATACAGTAACAATGCCGGGAATCGTTTTCCTTGACTGTATCTCCGTTGTTCGGTTCGTCATGCATAAGGATCAAAATGGTTAAAGATCCCTTGAAAAATGATGAAATTGACAATCAAGTAAAATGGACAAATAGCTTTTACAAGAACAGCATTTTCAAACAATTAAATTGCCTGAGCCCTTTCAATTACACGGTGCACAATGTTGACTCGTTGTACATGTATTCCGTGTGCATGAAATCAACCAAACAGAAGGTGGGGCGCTTTTTTCGAGCACGTACACTTTTTTAAAGTATTTTCTTAGGACCATAAGCCAATAAATGAAATTGTATGATAAAATGAGATTGTTGGTTTGCTACTGTAATTTTCAAAACGCTTTGCATCTCAGTTTGATCTGTGTGAGTGTGCACGAACTTGTATCCGGCTAAAGCCAACACTGGCCAATACTGTGTTCTACACTACCAGATGTGTGTTAAATTGATTATTGTAAGTGTCCTTCGGGCTGGCTGATATTGAGTTTGCCGACGGTTACAGCGAATCACATAAAAGGAACTCCAAAATGTTAGTAGTACTGCCTTGTACACTGTGTATACATTTCATTAATATCTAGTGTAATTACCAAAGATTGATTGGGTTATGGCTATCTCCAAGATCCGATATACTCTCGTTACTTTAGCTCTAAACAGGCATTCTGCTCGGCTTTAATCTATACTATGCAGGAACGTAGCAGTCTTTCTGTTGGAAAACCGAGCAAGGCAGGAAAGGATGTCGAAGGAATTGAGCAAAAGGATTCTAATTTAAAGTAAAATTGGTGAGAGTTTGGTTTACTGCAATGTTTTGACTGGGTCGCTATGTTCGTGTACTTTGAGGAACAATCTGGGACTCGTTAGAGAGTTGATGTCCTCAAGACAAAGATTGACGAGAGAAATACAGTGTTTGGTCTTTCGGGACTGTAAGTTACTTTCAATGCACAAAGAAAACAACCTGAGCGTAATTTCCAAGTGAGTAGATTAGTCTTCTCACAATCGGTAACATACGTTGTTAGTGGCTTACTTATAATCATGTAGCAAAGAAGACGGCCGTGTTATCTGTACATTGTAAATAGCTAGATACGCGCACGCGGCGTGTGGGGGGGGGGGTTAGAGGGCGTCCTGGTATACTATTCACTGCGCTCGTACTTCGCATTGTCAGTCGGTCGTGTCGGCCTATGATTGTCCTGTCTTCAGTGTCAGCCTCTATGCTGAGCGCTAACACAGCCAGTGTTCTGAGCTTAAGCCAAATATTTGACGAGTGTCAGACCATAGTGTCGGAGTCGTCGTGCGTCTCCCTCGCAAGGACTTCAGTTATTCACAACTCCAGCTATTACTTTTGGAGTTACATTACTTTGACGTTGAGAAGGTTCCAGGAGCGGGTTTTCCATGAACTACGAAGCACAATGTGATTAGGAAACAAGTGCCTACAGTGCTCAAGGTACGTTGAAAAGCGTCTCACAAACTAAGTAGAATACGTGACAATGGTGTTATTAAAACGGGTATGAAACTTCAAAAATAACGGGTAACTTTTGAATAGTTAATGTAAAAGTCTTCATATTACTTCAAATATGTAGCAGCTATATGTTATGTTTTACATGTTATGTTCCAAATTCATTTTTAATTATTTCAACCAAAACCATAAGCATATGTACCAGGGCGTGTAGTACCTTTTAAGTGAGGAATTTGTTTCAATGTATGTCCTGTTTAAAACAAATGACAATTTCTTTGCCATATGGGAACTTCCAGAGAAACAGAGGTTTTTCCTGTGGACGGATATCGATTCCGCATGGTTGGAGTTGAGCTACACACAAATTTAAACATTCCAATGGGCCCAGATTTTGCTTTAGTACTTGATGTGCATACTACGACTTAGACTTTTGCATTATGATTTTCCTCCGAGTCAATTCTGTCACAATCACCTTCATACACACCATTTTCCTCATCCATTATGGGAGAGGTACGGCCACCCAGACCAGGATATCAGATGCAGAGCTAAAAACACAATATAAATGATACAGTGTTGTTGATATAAAACAGATTACACTGCGAAAGGGCCAAAGTCACTGCCATGCACAAGGGAAATGTAACTTTATACATGTATTTTATCAAAGTAATAGAAAATTAGTTCGGTTTTCAATATAGGCCTACTTCAGATATTTCAAACTAACAGTCGGTATAGTTAGGGTTATTTCCAACTTTTAAAAACAAGTCAAGCCGTTAATTAATAAAAAGAAAAAAGCAAAGTAGCCTTGACATGTTTGACGCTACTGTGGGTCTGCCATTAGCAATTTGTAGGCTTTAGTACTAATTCATTCCCAGCGTGATATCGTAGTAGGCCGTGTGACCCTTGCAGCGGCAAGGTTGGGGTTCTGCCATGGGAAGTCAGCCTTGAACATATCACTTGGTGTTCAGTGAATTTAGCCACAGCTGCAACATCTACGAAATTGTCTCCAGGAGTAAAAACACAATTAGATGTTCCATTCGTCGTAATGAAATTCAAGTGAAACACTTGGCAGATAGTAGGGGGAAATGTAAACGTCAGCACTGAGACAAGAATAGTAGTAAACTGGCTATTTCATCCGAATGTCGAGTGCATTTTGATAGACGGGTATTCGTAAAGACCATTTGCATAGTAATGGAAATTTTGGCATATCAGAGCAATTGTCATTTTGAGTTGAATGAAATTACCTCTGGATAGTTAAATGAATCATTTCAATAAATTTTACCTGGGTAACGTTTATTCATTTTTTAATTAGCCCCACATTGCAGACATAAGATTTATAAGCTCGCGTGGTACAACACGTGAATGTCTTTTGACATTAAGCACTTTTAATTTATGCCATGCAAGACAAAATGAAAAGTACAGGTAAATCAAGTCTGGTTAGAAATTAATGTCAACTTTGTGTTCAACTGAACGCTGCGCATCAACGTTCATCTTCCTCGCGTAAGGGCTATTCCTCGTCTAATATCTCTGGCAGGTTGAATATGATAATTAATAAATAAGTTGAAAGGTACGACATGAGCGTCTGCTTTATGCGAACTCTCTTCAGATGTCATAAATGATGACTAATGGCTAAGTATAAATCATTATTTTGATCGACTAATCAATAAACTTATAAGCTTCGTTGCCTTAGACCTTAGTACAAAGGAGTGTATCGAATTTGTCTTGTGATGCTTAATGTAACAAAAATAGCATTATGGAATTATGCTTTTGGTGTCAGATATGCATTAACCCCCAAAAATGAAGCTTATGGCTCTATATAGAAAAACGACTCACAAATCTGTGATGTAGAGGGTTGATAGTGCATTATCATCTCTGAAAAAAACTATGTCAGAATAAATCACATGCGCATAATGCAAATACTGGAATTCCCTTTAAAAATATGTAGATCCATTCGGGAATGTCTTGTCATTTGTTCTGTGTAAGACGTGTGTACCGTGCATGATACCGTTACAGCGTTTGATTTCCGTGCGTAAAATAAAATTGCAATGGCAAAAAATAAGTTCTCCCTGGTCTTTAAAAGTCAATGATTTGACAGTTCAGCATGAATTTTTGTATTTCAAAACATTCGGAAAGAATTAACAAAAAACGATACGCAGATGTGATTCGACTCGTGAACTGTAGCCAACAGTGTATTAAACCCTACATTTCCAATTCCGTTAGTAGAAATATGATTTCCGTGCCATTTCCGTAACAAACCATGAAGGGGAAATGCTCAGTAATACAACCAGCTCATATAGCATAACTCCTTCAAAATATTTAGTAGGCCACCAGACTGGTCCCAATTTTTAATAAAAATGCTAAAAGCTAATGAAAGTAACTCTGGATAGGTTTACTGCATTTTCTTTTCTTATCAGTAAGGCATAAGATACAAATTAAAGTCGTGTTTGCTCTTGGTATAGAAGGGTCGATCGGACACTGAACAGAAACCAATATGAAACGAAACAGAAAAGGCAGACGTATAACTGACTATAGGTGGCGTTTCTTTCTTGGAAGCTGTAAATAAAGCATATTGATCGCTGTATCTCATCTGAAGCTTTATTTTGAAGGTCGGGTTTTCTAGTGCGAGCACCCACGTCGTAAACACTTCCAACCTTCTACCGTTCGTGGCAGTACAGTCGCCAGGTACCTAATTTCGTTACCTTTTGACAAGTCATATTGGTTTTCACAGTAAGTGGCGAAATAAGGGACCTTGTGACTATACGGTCATGGACGTTAAGCAGTAACAACATCCCTCCGAGTGGAGCAAACTACTGATTTGCATCTTACTTCAAGCTTTAAATAAAGTCAGTCCAGCAGCATGCATAAATCAAATGAATTGTTACTGTAGTTCTTCAGTTTCTCAAGTTTAGATCTTAAATGCATATATGCGTCATACCAAGCTCTTGGGTCACGGTACTTGGCGACTTGAGTCAGGTGCAAAGCGTGCACTGATGAGCCACACCGCTCTACGACTTAAACAAATATATCGACGGCTGTTTTCGCTGATTATATTCATTCATGTGGAGATGTTGGGTTGGTATATATCCTCAAATAATATTTTGAGGCTTAGGTCTCTTCTTGCATAATAAGACGAATTTTGAACAGCATTAGAGACGTTGTGCTGCTTTGTGCTAAAATGTGGCCAGACTATAGCACCCTGCAAGAGATGTAGACCTAACTTAATTAGACACATATTGCAGAAACAAATATCAAGATGATGGGAGGTGTCCTATCCTACATCAAAAGCTACACTCCGCACACTACTTATATCCTCATACAATGTTAATATATATTTCTCCGCCTAATTTCTTTGTTCATTTTTCATTGCCGAACTGGGGGAGAAAAATTTACGGCATTATACTAAAATTGTTACGGAGACCCTCCTGCAAGCTAGCCAGTTGAGGAAGTCAGAACTTAAAGTCAGAACTTAAAAATGACTAAAACACCGAACTACAAATTCCATTCTCGAAAAAAAGAATGGAAATACATACAATGTAAATTTCTCCTCAAATAGAATACATCAGCTGTTTGCCATTACTAAAGTGACACCCGGTTTTTAATAATATCGGCCTGGCGGAGGGGGGGGGCTCGACGAGGCAGTCAAATAAATACAATTTACAGATACAAATGAAGCAAACTTAAATTACAGTGGTGACTCGACAGACGACAGACAACTTTAAGAAATATATAAGGGGGCTGCATATGTTTCCCAGAAAAAATGTACAAAATTATTGAACCTACGAGCTGAGCCTCCAACAGGTACTTCGGTTTTAAACTAGAAGTTGTATAACACGAGTGTGCCGCCCACAGTATTGAAACAATACACATAGTGAATCAAGAAGCTAACAAAGGACTTACCACTGGGCATGGTTTAAAGCATGACATTTTTGCCTCTGAATCAAGTATTTCAATAGTAAAGAAATTATTTTAAAAGTCAAAAAGGTGGCAAAGTAAATGAGTCCCTAGACCCCAGACCCTATTTTGTAAAGTGTGCATAGTACTGCTCTGGCAAATACGAGGTTCGGCCTTATCGGAAGTGTTGGTAGCGTTCTTTAAACACGTGCTCATTTTGTCTTACGCCTATATTAGAAGTATGGCTGCCAGTTGGGAAGATGAATCCTCAAAATCTATTGATGCTGAGAAAATTCAAGGTGCTTCTCGTTTCCTCGTTTGATTTTAACACTTATTTTTAAAATATCTTATTTATTTACATCTGTGCTTCTTGAAAATTCGTGTTTGTTTGAAGGATTGTTTTGGCGTTTATTTGTTTGTGGGGATGTCAGGATTAGAGTTTCTTTGTTTTGTCTTCAAACTGAACGCCTGTGGGAATGATAATTAGGTTCACTGTTTTAGTCCCGGTCATTATGTTTTGCATTGCATTTGTGTTTGTGATGACAAATAAATATATAAGTAAATAAATTAATTTCTCTTTTCCAACCAAACGCCACGGCTGCTCAAGCAAAAGTGACCGAGAGTAACTCTCTCCAGTTCTACTAACACTTCTTTAATGATAATAAAACAGAACAGTAAACAAATAATGAAAACACTAATATATATAAAGACCTTGAATTACTCACAATTTACCAAATTTTGGGTCATCATATGGAAAATGTGTTGCTCGATGAGGGAAAAGTAATCCTGAATCCTGAGTGAAATGTAAGTCTTTCGTCGTATTCCATATCTCTTACAAATTTCTTTTCAGTGTACAATGCTTCTCAATAAATTTCTCGGCCTTCAATGATACAAACCCAGAGAGTGAGGCCATCCACGAAAGATCTGACCGATGTTATTTCGATCAAAGGTCTACATGCATTTAATAATGTCGCTTGGTTTCTTCCGGTGAGACAATTTTATAAATTTTTCTCACTTTGGCTTTCTCTGATTTTTCCCATACGACAGTGATACAACCATACAGCAAATAAACATATGCCCAATGGGGAGTAAACTAACGTGGTACGATGTAATTAGGTTTCCCCCTTCAATGGTCATATTGATTGAGGAATCACAAACAGCCGTCGTATGGTTCGTAATTTGGCAAAATTGCCGCCATGCAAATCGATAAGTACCTACCCTATTGAGCGCTTTACCATATCGTGCAATATGTCAAATTGAATTACGATATTAAACCGTCGAGACTGTAACTGATTGTACAAAGTTTTTTTCATTCAAGACGAAATATCATGAATTTTGCAGAGCCACAGCCCCAATTTACTTGGAACTCTTCTAGTCTGAATAGGGGCGGTTTTAATGATTTTTTTGTTTTTTCATTAATCCGAAACAAAATTTTCAACATTTCAAACTAAAACGACAAAATAATTTCTCCAGCCAAGTGGCGCACAAGGGGGCTCATTTGTTATTAGTTACTTTCTGCAAATGAAGATACATCTCAGTCTCCTGTGGCGCAACGGGGGGGGGCACGAACATCATGAGCGATACTGGTGGGTAAATCGGCCTGAGCCCCGCGACAAATCTCTCATGCGCTATTGCTTTCACTGGAAAATACTTCCTAACCTCAGAACAAATTGCAATGGAATGAGAGAATTTGCTTTTCATCGAGTTCAATTTTCCCTCTTAACTATCCCTGCAGTGATTTCAATCTTGCCTGTATCTATTATTCCCAGACCTCTGAGCTCTTCATTCGCACATGGACAGGCTAATCCGAATGACTCTTAATTTAACTTACCACATGCTGTCCAAAAACCATTTCATTTACGTTGAAAGAAAGGTTCTTTCAGCCATTACTGATTTCGCTGTTCTGCTCCTCTGAAACAGGGTTCAAGAAATTACTCACACAGAGATCAGAATAAAACTGTAAAAAACATGTTTTATATAAAACTAAGAGCACCTGCACAATACTTTGTGATATTTGTGGATTCATTGGGGAATTCTATGCGAAATGAAAATATTGAGAGCGAGTGGATTGATTTATTCAGCCAATGATCAAGTAAAAATAAAAATACAATCATAGAAATTTGTAATGATGCATTCGTATAAGCTCACTCAAAACCCCACAAAACTCATTCCAAATGGCAGACAATCTTCAACGATATGTTGATTTTTTCTAGATGAAGAAGGGTTGGGTCGTAAAACTAACGAGCTCAATATGTAAGAAATACATTATTTGAGTCTGAATTACTGAAGTTTTCTAATGTTATTTCAGTCAAAAAAAATATATCTCCTCATCTTTGCAAAAACAAATTTGATATTTTTATAATTCGCTTGAAGTAACGTGATAAAAAATATTGGTCCGCCTTGACGGCTATGACTCAGATGTCAAATAGATGTAAATCCAAAGATATAATTCCCGCCCCTAAATGATAATGTTTAGGTGCAGTACGTTCTTACTTAGTATATGCCTAAGGCAATTTAGCGTCTTGACTTATTAAGCGTATGGTTCCATATTGAGTTTATCAGACTACCTCGTCTTATGACCCTGGGCAAAATATAAGAACACACGTACTTTTGGCAGTTAAAAATTACAATTGGAAATTTGGATTTATGGGCACGATTGACGGCAATATTTGACATGTAAAACTAAAAATAATATGGTATTTTTGTCACTGAATGGTGTACAACACGCCCCCATTCATATATATTAATCACAGAACAGTAGTTGACATCTGAACTTGGTGTAATGTTGACAGTCCAGGATAAAGGGGCAAATGCCAGCTACTTTGCTTTCCTTCCGTAACTAATTTTAAAACAATAATGAAACGCGTTTTCTTACATCACCCTCTTGATCACAGTCTAGAGTCATGTACGTCTGGAGTGAATTATAACAGAGTATAAGTTGCCTGGACACCAAACAGAAGAGTATTTGGAAACTATTAAGCTCTTCCAAAATGATAAGTGCATTCTCAAAATGGTTACTCTTTAACCACACACGGTGGTTTCCGCCAGAAAAGAAAACGATACCGCCTTGCACAAGGCTATTGTGCAAATACAGGAGTTCCAGAACAAGGCAGCTAGGTTGGCATAAATCCATAGAAGCTAGCTATGAGAGTGGACTTTGTTGTTTTGTTGCACTTTCCGTATCCTCATATGGGTCTCCTTTTTGAAAGAAATCTTGGGAAATATGCTAATGCAGTTTAAAAGATTGACGTGGCAGATGGTGAAAGAGTAGAAAGTAAACAAAGAGGAAAAGGGCACTACAAAGTACTCAAAAACAGTGCAATTAATTACCAACAGCCGTAGATGAAGGTAAGCCTAGTTTTCATAATAATAACCGACGATGGAAAAAACGGGAGCAGAAGAGCCGAGACTTTAGGAGGTCAAACTGCGTATGCATTGGCTTCATTTCTAACGGGGTAAACAAAAATGAATTCATATTGAAGTTTAAAAATGAGACTATTAGTCGTTCCAGGAAATGTTTACTCATCGGAAATTTAAAACAATATAAATTAATTTATACACAAAATACTGTCCTTGCTTTGATCGTGTTTTAACAGAATCCCTTAATATTTTGATGCAATCTACACCTCACTGTTAAATGAAGCAACTTTTACTGTAGTATACCCCTTGAGGCTCGTTAAGAGGAATTGCTTCATTCCGAGAAGTAGCTTCACCCAGCTTTCATCATGATTAAATGTGAAAGTACATGTAGACTAGAATACATTAACTCACGTTCCCTAGTGAGGATGATTAGGCCAAACTAAAAATGATTGTGTTTCCCATTGCATTAAAAATAAGCGGTTAGTTGGATAGCCTAAAGTTGTTTCTCTACTCATCAAAATTTTTATACAAAATTATTCAGGGGACTATGAGTTACGGTAATGAATTTGTTTCACAGAGAATTCACTTGCAGCAGCTGTAACAGTTGACAGAGTCTGATTTTATACAATAGGGTAATTGTAAACTGTCGGCAATGTCTTTTCGGAACGGTAATAGGCCTACAAGCTTCAACAGTCCGGACTGTTAAGCGAAAAAGACATAAAGTCACACGAAATAAACATTGATCACTGGTTCAGTAACGACTACCATGTATGTCTTTAGAATTGCAAGAATAGTTACCAATACGTATCAGTTACAGTTCGTCTTGTGATGTATTATGACGTCAACGCCCCAGTCATTATAACGTAAAGTTTCACGACAATGTTGTCATGATAAAATTCACGGCTAGAAGTTATTTGGCACTGGGAATTAATTTAAAATTGCTATAACCCTAGCCAGGATTATCGAACCTATGGATGGCGCTATTTTTACCCGATTTCAATGTGTGCGTCCCTGCTTATTATCATGTTATTTCCATATACCTCAGAAGTAATGTTCACATGAGATACTGCTGCTCAAAATGTCTGAAATTAGACAGCAGCGGATCGTGACTACGAACAATAACAAGCCATACACTCATATATTTTAATTTTACGTGTAAACCCCTAAATGGTTGATTCTTACCAATCTTCTAGGTTAACAAATGAACCAGAAGTTACTTCTTTACCACACTGGGTAGTTGAAGTTTCCACCCCGGTTCTTGGGTGAAATGAAACCCAGGTACATTCTCAGAGCAGGCTTTATTACTTAATTTAATTTCTTTTTAAAAAAACGACAAAGCATGGGTTGACCCAGCAGCAGACCAAATATCTCCCTTAGTGATAAGACCTGAATTTGTTTTTAGTTTCCAATAGCATCTGTTCACGTGGGGTTAACGTAGCCGGTAACGCAACCATGTTTTTGTTTGGCCTAAGCGGCGACAGACGAACTTCGATTAAGCTCACAGGTAGCACTAGCAAAACCTAATCGAACCGTTTGGATCGAACTCAAACATGTCATGTACTTTTCTGCACTAAAATGCACCGTGAAGTGCTGTCGTATTAGCAATTCCATCCTGAGCCTTTTTCGAGTCTTAAGTCGCATGCACGTCTTCCTTGTGTCAAAGTGAGTTGGTTCGTTCTCACAATAAGAAAGTAACATCAGAAAAAAAACCTGCAAACTGGTTTCCGGAGCTTAATCGTCAAAAATGGGGTTACCCGCAGCGACTTAATATCTGCATGAAGCCGGAAGGGCCAATTAGCAACAAATCGTTACTGGAAGTTTATTTGGTGAGTCTTGATTCCCGTTGGCATGCTGTAACCTTTGTGACCTCATTATGAAAATACCTCAAAGTCAATTTATTGCGTTTGGTGCAGGTTGGAGCTACATGTATTTTTGTAGTGGGACAATTTTCTGTTCTTTATGGAAAGCAGACCCATTTCATATTAAGAAGCTGATAGGTGAAAAGTTATTGCTGGTGTTAATTCAGATATATATGTCCCTGGAGTGACCTAAATGATAAAATATCTAGCTTTCTGAATTGTTCAATAAATTCCACCGTGCAGCTGCACGTCTTGGCTGTGTACTTGCTCTGTGCTTAAATGCCTTCATTCTCATGTATTCTGCTATCTCTGACTTCTATAATTATTGCACTGGTCAAACACTTGCTCCATCATGATTTTTACTATCGCGACGGAGTGTTACCACCTATCTTCGTTCATTCTACCCTTTTTGTATTCAACTAGAGGTAGATGAACAAGCGCAGAAGCTATGTCGGTGTCTCGAGTGTGTGCTGAAAAAAATGGTGTCGCGATTGATTGCCTTCGTAGAGAGCGCTGTGTCAAAACGTGAGGTGTTTCTACTTAATTGGTTGAGACAGGGACAGGTAAGATGATACAGTCTATATTATCAGCCAATCTCTTATCGTGACAGTTTAAGACGAAGCGCGTAATTCCTGGAGCGATCGTGCCTACTAAAGCTGTCAGTATTTCAAATTTACTGATTTTTGTATTTTCCCATAGTCATAAAGGTCTACTGCAGTTTGTCCCTCATTTAAATCATATCTCTGATAGGACCCATGGTCTGACTACGAAGGTGTCATGTAATTTTCTTCATAGGTGGGAGACAAAAACTATAATATGCCGATGGTGTTACACGCAGACAGAAAAACCTCAGGATGCTGGATTAAAAAAAATGGTTATAAAACCACGGCTTCTTAAACAGCAGGATGTAATTAAGGATCCTGGCTATAATGACCCGTCTCACCGAATCTTTATCCATACCTTGTACCGCCTGAGGCAATCAAGGCCCTGAATCAAAATGTTACACAGGAACATAATCTCCTAATTTATGATCCAATTTTATCGGGAGGGTTTCACTCTCCTTGTTTGGGTCCTTATGGCGCCAACTCAAACCGAGCAGAGTTTAATTTGCTGTCGTCAGTGAAAAGAGATATGTGTTCCAATTCACATAAGATACATATAGCGTCATTTTACGAAGCTTCCATGACAAACTATAGACAAACTAACGATCAGACATCATCTGACCCCGTTTACAGTAACGTTACTATGAGGGTGGGGCAAGGGGATTGGGGCCCCGCGCTTGAGGCCTGGTCCTCCCGTGTAGCGTCCCTGCTCGGAAATCAGACTGAGAAGGAAAAGCTGGTGCTTTCACTGTGACCAAACCCACTGAGTGGCATCACTGCAAAGTTAATGTTACAAAAGTCTGGTTCTGATCAAGGCTAAAAGTGTACTTCTTTGGCAAATGAATCAAAACGTAAACGAACAAGTAAGCATTAATAAATTAGTTCAGAATTGGAGTTGTCATTCATTTCCTTTTATTCTTGGAAAATCATCAGTCACAAAGAGTATTAACCCTGAAAGAGCTGGGGCACAATCCACCCTGTCAGACATTTTTCAGATACATGTAACTGTAGTGCATTTCTTTCACGAGTCAATTTTTTCCAATAACTTTGCATGTAGTCATTGATTACACCTGATGTTATGAAAATCGAACAACAGTACCGCTCAGCCGCGCAAAGACCATTTTTCCTCGAGAGGTCAGCCCCGAACTCTTCACCAATGTAGTGTTCAACTTAATGCACAAGGACCGGCAGGCGTTTGGCAATGAATGACTGTAAGAGTAAAACCATGTCAGATCGAGTAAAAACCTCATAAAGGTAAGGCTTTAAAATTCAAAAAAAACGAGTATGAGACATCCGCCCAGCTTTGACCTGGTCCACCATAACCCGGCTCTATTAGGGCGAAAACGAATTTGCTTGTTCACATTAAACATTACTTTCCTATGGGAAACTGGTTTTATTGCCAGTCTTGATACGAGACTAGTGTTTACGCCCAGTGGAAGCTTTCACTGTTGAAATGTCAGATTTCCCTTTGGAAAAATATCCTTTAGAACAGCGATTATAGCCTTTATTCAAGTCGAGTTTCCCAAGCGTGTTGTGCAAAGAAGTAGTAGGGCCTCGGTATGTCAATCAACAGAATGCGTTTATATATTAATGTGGTCAAAGGACACAAGGTTAGAAACATGGCGCGTTGGAACAATCTGTTGTTGGTTCGTGTGAGCACAAGATGGCCTACGGTGCAGAACAGCCGTCCTATTCAGTGCTGGCAATATGTAAACGGTAGCAACGAACTCTTTGAAAACAGCAGATTAGATGCAAAGGGTTTGTATTTTACAACTGTGATTTTAGTTTATGAATAGAGCGGCGACAATGTAATCAGGCGTTGCACTGTTATGCGTTTCTAAATGCCACTAAAAATTGTGTATTTGCCATACGATGTAGCTGCCAGTGTGAGGTATAGGCCTACACTGAAATGATTCAGAGGTTTTAGAGGTTGCAACGGTACATTTCCTTTGTGATGCCAGCATTCTGGACATTGATCGTGACCCCTTAATGGGTTCATTACACAAAGTGGATGATGGAGCCGAAGCTGGAGATTTGTGAGAAACGTTGATAGAAGCTACGTCAGGAAGGGCAAAATTGTGCACCGAAATAGCATAAATGCAGAACTGGGATACCGGTAGCAACTATAAATGAAAATGCATGTAATAATATGTTAAGTACGGTAGTAAAAACAGCTGCCTTGCCTATTCGATTTAAAGCCACATTTCCGCTGTTTCACGTAACTACACGTTATACTCAATACGGTACTTAAATATATAATAAATATCCATCTTATTTGTTCGCATTTCTATTTTGTCTTCGTCATAACTTTCAAATGCATAAGGAAAAAGCAGACCACGCAATCAAACTGTGCATTCGTGGGCTCATATCTGTATGATAGCATCGTAGCACCTAACATGCAAGTAGACATTTGATCGATCAACTTGGTTTATTGTTCCATATTTTCAAAAATCGGGTGGATCATAATATAATCATTGCATAGTTCGAAAAAAACGGCGCTGTTGTTCATTACCAACTCCGTTTGAAGATAGATTCACTGTGAAAAAGGTGATGACTTTCCAAGTCTCTTTTATACATAATACGTGCCTTATTTGCTAGGATTCAGAAAAAATCCTGAAATCAACTCCCACAAGTCATGATTTCAAAGTGATGGTAGTTTTGCCATTTTGTGTTTGTTTTTCCAGGTGTATATATTCCAAACACAGTGTGTTACAATGAAATTCAACATGGGTATTTGTCAAATTCCAAGAGCATTTCTGACAACATTGGTCCTTCTCACGATAGTCATCAAATCGCATGCCGTCGTCCCCACCGAACAACTAATCGACACCATATATGGACAGGTGTTAGGAGTGCGAAGACATGTTACTGACCAAAAAGATGTCGTAGCTTTCCTGGGAATTCCCTTCGCTAGGCCACCAGTTGGAAGTCGCCGATATAAACCACCAGAGCCCATGGGTTCTTGGCGACCAGAGATAAAAAACGCTTCTACCTTCGGCGCATCCTGTGTACAAGTTTTGGACAATGCATTTCCTAACTTTACCGGTGCAGAGATGTGGAACACCAAGTTACCGATGAGAGAAGATTGCCTGTACTTGAACGTGTGGGTACCGTCACCACGACCAACGACAGAACGCTTGGCAGTTATGGTGTGGATATTTGGAGGTGGATTCTATGGAGGTGCAGCCACGTTACCTGTCTACGATGGAAGCACTCTAACAGCAACACAAGGAGTTATCGTGGTTTCAATGAACTATCGAGTGGGTTCTTACGGCTTCTTGTCTTTAGGAACCTCAGAGGTCCCAGGAAATATGGGACTCCTCGATCAGGCAATGGCTTTACAGTGGATCCAAGACAATATCGAGTATTTTCACGGGGACCCAGACAAAGTGACACTTTTCGGCGAAAGTGCTGGTGCGGTGAGCGTTGGTTATCATCTTCAATCTCGTATGACTTCGCCGTTATTCACCCGAGCAATCATGCAGAGTGGGACACCACTTTGCCCCTGGGCACTTATCACAAACGAAGAAGCCAGACGAAGGGCCATGATATTCGCCCGCAATCTAAACTGCGTGGAATACGCCGACGGAACACCGTTCTCGGACGCTCAAATCATGGCCTGCCTCCGAACGAAGGATCCAAACGAGACATTAGAGAACGAATTTCCAGAAAGTGGCGTCTATGTTTTTCCCTTTGTACCTGTCGTTGACGGCGTTATTATCACGGAGACTCCACAGTCAGCCTTTGAGCGCCATGCCATAAAGCAAACTGATATCATGCTTGGCTCCAATACGAATGAAGGTTCATCTTTTATGATTTACTATCTGACTGGTTTCAATAAGGATACAGACAGCCCGATCAACATGACTTTGTTCAATCAAACAATTGCAAAGATTTTCAAACCAATGAACAAGTTTGCTAGGAGTGCCATTAAATTCCAGTACACAGACTGGTTGGATCCCTTTAACCCATACAAACTTCGCGATGCTACAGAAGCATTCGTTACTGACTACAAAATAGCTTGTCCTATCTTTGAGACTGCTCGGGCCTACACATCAGCCAAGAACAAGGCATACTTGTACAGATTTCGTCGACGGCCCTCTAATAATCCATGGGGTGAGTGGATGGGTGTTATGCACGGTGACGAAATTGCCTATGCATTTGGTCAGCCACTTCATCCTAACAACGGCTTCTCAGAGGAAGATATCGCCCTGAGCAGAAAGATGATCAGGCTCTGGAGCAACTTTGCAAAAACCGGGTATGGGTTCACAGTAAATAATGTTCTTACTCAAAACGAAATTTTGTGTTTGAAACGAATAAGCTTGAAATTAATCACTATTAGGTTTTTATTATTATAATTATTATTATTGTTCCCGGAATTGACATCAAGGATTCCTCAAAAAGTGCCATAGGCACTGTAGCACTGTTGGTGGGAGGAAAACCCCAGAGTATTCTGAGTGAAACTCACGGAATCAGGTAGGGACAGAAAACCCAATTCACATGCGGACCGGGCCGAGATTCGAACCCGGACCGCAAAGGTGAAAGGCGAGGAAAGAGCCACAACGCCAACTTGACTCCCCGTTTTGTTACAAAGTAGGTTTATGATTTTAACTCAATTATCAAAGGCAAATAGATATGGAAATTTCTTTAACAAAAACATTTCGATTAAATCTCACTTCTGCAGGAATCCGAATATGAGGCACCTGAATGAACCGGATGAGTTGGGTGAAGGATGGCCAGCCTTCCAGCTTAATTCACCGGCTCATTATATCCTGGATTCAACTACGATAGACAGTCCATTAGTTACAGAGTATGATAAGGCAACACACTGTGCCTTCTGGAGAGAGTACTTACCAAGACTGGATGCACAGACTGGTCAGTCGCTTATTAAAATTTGTTTACAGCTAGTTGACATTGAGGTGTTTTGAAACATCACCCTAACAGACAGCCGCGCGGCTATCTGACTATACACTTTAAAGATCCCAAAGACGAAAACTAATAGCTATTTTAAAGTGTATTTTTCTTAGATTACTTGTCAAAATTGTTTGCATTAATGAAAAATAGGCCTAACTCTTTTGGGGACAAATTATAAATTATTTCAAAGTGACTTTCTCCAGAGATGAAAATTGGCAACAAATGTCGCAGAATTCAGATGCAAAAATACATACAAATAACGCAAGGTCGAATTTGTTAACCGTGTAGATCTATCTCCATGAACCTTGCAACAAAAGCAGAGCCACATGAAAGCCATTAAACCGACAGAAAATATCCCACATAACATATTGGCGTGGGTCCCCATAAAACGCAGATATATCAGTACATGTACCAGAATTTATTATGTACATGCAATGATTCACTAAGCGATTTGCAGATGCGCCCAAATTTATGCATGCAGTGTGTCGAGGCGGATACAGACGAACGGTAGGTTTATTTTCCTTTCTACCACTTGACACAGAAATTTAATCAGTCTTTGCTTTCAAGCATCCTTGTGCTTATGTCTCGATGCCTGCGGCCCAGGTACCATTCTCATTACCATCAATCCTTGAACAAAGAAGTGTTCATCAAGGTGGCGATAGAAATCTTACTCATTGGGCTCACAAAACAAGGGCATCTCGGACTACACTCATTATGTAATCAGGAAATTTATTTCCAGCCATTTTTAGCCTTGTCACTTTTAACCCCCGTCAAGTTCTATCACTGTAAAAGATATGATTATCTTACAGTTTGATTGAAACCTTATAAAACACAAGAGAAAAGAAACAATGACCACAAGTAACCATCATTTTAAATGACAATATTCTGAGCAATTTCTTTACATTATATTTTCTTCCCTGTTTTCTCCTCAACTTCCAAAAAATTCCTTTAACGGGGTCAGGGACTTCGTATTTTCAAGCCATTTTCCTGAGTCTGTCATCGCTCACTGACAAATTTCCTCCGTAGTCAAGAAAACAGGACGCCCTGCACTGGAACCTTTCTGTGATTGAAACACTGGTCGAATTTATTCACAGTTTGCCTAACTCTCTTATTTTGTCTTTTGTCACTCACTCCAATAGCTGATATAAATGAGGCCGAAATGAAGTGGAAAGAGGAATTTCATCAGTGGAGCACGAAATACATGGTGGACTGGAAAGCTGAATTCAACAATTACATCTACAACAAGAACCAGAACTGCCTCGAACCTAACGACTGATAGCATGTAGTTCGAGTCAAGATACGTACAAGGACCAAAGCATAAGATATAAACTTGGAAACTATACGGTTTAATGATTGAATCAAGCTCATGGTCTCTTTCGTGATGGAGTTCGATGGGATTGGAAACTTTGCTTCACATTACTCATGTTTTAAACTTAAAAGAAACTGACGGCTCTAAAAGTAAATCAATCACAGAGTGTGAATTAATACGAAATATATTAAGTTAAAGACTGAATTTCAGCCAATTCAATTTCCAGCGAAGCAAGGTCAAGCTACCTCGAACATGTTATCATGCGTAAGTTGCGCAGTAAGTAGCGCAAATGACCAACGTGTTTCATTTTGTTTAACTTGACTAAAACAAGTAACAAAAACGATTTCTCTATTTTTCCGGGGCAAAGAAACTTCTAGGGATGGTGTTTTTCTATGTTTCAATATAGGCTTAACCAAGCGAACTTTCATAAACAGGACACCACTACTTGAGTCCAGATTAATCATGAGATTTCAACTGTTGTGCTTTCTTCAAATTGAGAACTACATTGTCAGGAAAAGCCACTATGTCAATTAAGTTGTTTAATTTATTTGGTTGAATGACCAAAATCTAAGTACACAATAATCAATTTATCGCGTCTTGCTCACATCCTTTCAAAATGTAGATTTGTAAAGTGTGTTTGACGTACTTGTGTAGTTTCATTTATATTTTAATGAATTAGTATGAGATCAGAGAAGCTATGGAGAAGTCATTTTTGGGGTGTTTCGTAGAGTGAACCTCCTGTAATAATAGTAAACAATTGTTAAAATCCAATTGAAGCAATATTTTACGGTTAATAGGCAGCAAGACATTTGAGATAGAAAGTGTAGCGATCGTACTTTTTATACCAGTAATTTTTATCTTGTGTATACTACTCGTCGAATCTTTAAAGCAATATTGTTAGGCTGGATGCAGGCGTGGTTCTTTCACTTTATGTTGGGCCTAGTTTTGGTCCTTCCATCCTATGCATAATCATGGTTAGTGATAAACCTGTTGACATGGAATGGTTTTCATGTTCACTGATGCGTTATCGCCAAACAATGAATTGTTGGACACAGGTGAGCTAGGTATTTGAAATGGTTTTCGTGTTCATATGATGCGTTATCGCCAAACAATGAATTGTTGGACACAGGCGGGCTAGGTATTTGTACCGATCGTTTGAAGAGCAGCAGCTGCCATCACAGCCTTAGATTTCTGAGGGAGTCATTCCTGTTTGTTTGGTTTATTTTTTAAATAAAATAAGTGTTTTGGAGAACCTAGCAAATCACTGATGCCAGCTCCTGGAGACTGTGTAAAATGCGTCAAAGTGAGCTCATTGTGCACGTATATGTACATTAGAAAATAACAAGACCCAGCTTGCATTTTCAGTAACTTTAAAGATAAATTATTACATGGGTCAATGATAAAATTGTGCAAATAGAATGGGTAGCTTGAGCTCATGAATTAACGTACCTGCAAACATTCCATAGAAACTAATGAGTTTGCCTTCAATATTGTTAATTTTATTTGGAAACTGATATTTGTTTATAAACTACGTCACTTCAAATATTCAATCTTGTTCCTCATTAGGCATACATGCCGATCTGTATCTCTTTCTCATCGTGACAAGTTCCAGATTGCCCTTAACTTATAACAGTTGATGTTTTAGTACTTTACAGCAGCTAAATGTAATGTTCAATAATTTTTACGTATATTGATTCCGACATCTGTTCAGTTCTTAATATTCCTTTTGACGTCAGTATAGCTTGGGATTTTTCACTTTTCTACACAATTTGGGTACTTCTTCAGTAGAGTGAGTAATCTTCTGTGGATAATAACAAGCACGTTAAATTGTACTCAAAGGTGGGGCATTATTATGTTGTGAGTGTGTGTCTTACACGTACATGTACATGTATGCTCTTGAAACATAATAATGCATACAAGTAATAAATTGGAAGCATTGATGTTAGCGTTCAATAAATTGTAGAAATGTAATATACATATTTAGACCTATTTGAAATTCATCTCTGCTACTGCTCAAGTAATAAATGAAAGTGTCTTGGTGTAAATTATTTTAAAGGTAATGGAATACATCTGGCATCGACGACAAATGGATTAGAATTTTACGGAGTTTCGATCGCAGTATGAACATAATATTTATTTTGGGGCAGGGTGTACTTGATCAAAAATGCACGGACGGTGTATCATGAATGGGTACCCGTTGTTCATAAGAACAATCCCGGTGACCATCATATCAAGCGTCGTGTACTGAACGCTCAAGTCATCGAAGAAAATCAAAATTTTAATAGTTGTACTTTCTCCTCTTATCACCATGTTTGTAGTCATTTTGACTAGATTTAATGTGCCAGGTTGTGGCAGATTAAATCATAAAACAGTCCGTTTCTTAATGTTGCTCACTGAAGTCGCTGCTGCGAACTTTTTTATTTGGAGTTGTTTTTTGCCCTTCATCGATGTGTATTTTTTATTGAGTTTACAACATAATTTTTGTTGCTGCTGTACCGACTCTTGAGGACGGGTTCGTATCTAAGATGTCATATATGTAGTCAAAACGTCTGGGATTGCAAAGGTCGTCTTTTTCTTTTGGTTGTTAACCACCAACCGGATGTCATGACGTCACACGAGGTAGGCTTAACGTTCGTGATTTGCGAAAGTGCAAAGAATAGATGCTTATGCTGATAAGATAGACCTTTGTAGTAATGACGTCACAGTGGGGGCCAGCGGGGGCCACACGTTAACAAAGTGTGATATCGCTAGAGAGATCCTTTTCGCTGTGGAAAGTTTGAACAGGGGCACTGGTGCGTGTTGAATAACAGGCATGAATGCAGTGTGCAAGGTCAGGCTTTCATGCACAATACAGTACTGCCAATTCTTGTGACAGAAGGAAAGGGTGCATTTTAGCTACCCGACAGTTTGACGTGCTGTGAAAAATAATTGGCTACACGGGCTATTTCGGAAAGTAAAGGTGAGAAATGTTTTTTCGACATGAAGTACTTTGGGTGGTTCAAAATGTTTTCAAAACTGAGATACAGGACATCAGGTTTACATGGTAAATCAAGGAAATCTATTTTTGTATGAGGTTCTGAGGACAACCTTTGGACACAACGTTTCATACAGTATCCCGTCTGTCACTAGGAGCTTATTCTTCGGTGAATGGGAATAATTTTTGTTCAACCAGTTCTAGTAGGGGAAACATATGTCTAAGTAATGACATGTACTGGGGGGTTTATGATCTCAAAATCACCCATAGGATTTATTTAAAAAAGAATAATGACTTTACCCCTGTAGGACACGTGTGAGAAACAAAAACACAAAGAATGACAAGTATTACATACATATACCTTATATAGATGATTAATTTCTTTTAGGTGTTCTCCCACCGCTGTACTTGGTGACATGGACTTAGTGCCTCATTCCACTTTGCCAATGTGGTGGCGAGTTCTTTGGGGATCGGTCTTTATTTTGCTATTGACCGACAGTCTAGGTTGGTTCTATTCACTTTCATCTGTACTCATTGTAGTTTTATAGTTCCAGTATTTAAATTTGTCTTGAAAATATCTACGTATACTATTAAAAAAATTAAATATTTTGTTTGGATGATTCAACCCCAAAGTTTGCTTCACAACGAATAGAATATGTAATTAACAGGATCCACCAACAACACATGTCGTTTGGCTAATTTACCAGGTAGATATAGTCATCTGCAAATACTTAGGACCACCCATACAAAATGCATTAACTTGAAGAAAAACATGGCAACTTATATTTATTTTCAACGTGTAACCTTAGTATCTTCGTTAAACAGCTGTTTGGCCACATTTCCATGATTTGAAATGTTACCAGTCTATTTTGTGTGCCCTCCTTTATTTCTGATTACTTAGACTGACTTTGTTTACCCATGCTGCCTTACAGACAAAATGTCACATAAGACCTACCTTTGCAAAAAAAAATAATTCGACTGAGTAAATCGCACTACACTGATGTTATGCACCACTGTAGAAACATGTTAAGTAATCAGTCAATGAGACAATGTAATGCAGGCCCTGTGACAGAAAAACCAATCAAATTCCAGGTGGTCCAAAACTTTTGTAAATGACTAGTAAAGAAAAAATAAGAACAAGGAACTAATACAAGAGCGTTCTAACTACTTTAATTGTGAAAAAATTATTCAGATCCACTGAGTACTGTAACAAAGGTACATTTTACCACTGTTAGTTGGAATGTTGAAATTGACAACATATGATTCATAACTGAATTTATATCAAAAGCAACACTGCCTGCATTCCAATACTTTAATTGCTGGTAACTTTCTGTATATATATGTTGTATGGGTATGATCTTGTCATTTTTAACCCTAACAGTCCCAAATCCTCCAATTTCAATACAATTTTACATACACCCTTGGGAGTAAGGGTTAAGGTAATTTTTTTCTTACCTTCTTTCTGTTAGATTGCAATATCCAAATTTCAATGCTTTCTTGTGTTCCTTTAAAATACAAGTTTATTGTTTTTGTTTCTCTACAAGGACAAAATTGTTCTCAGCATGAAATAATCCACCAAATAAATGTCAACATCAACGAAGCCAGATTCGCATCAACTGTCGAAGGGTTACCTGCCTCCTCTCGCAATTGCTCAACATTGGTTGTATGGAATATCACAACAATTGATAGATCCAGCAAGTGGATTTCCATTGAGATTTTGGATTTCCCTAATTTGCCAGAGTTGGATGAGCTTTTCGAATTGTATCTTGTTCTATCTCCTTCTGATGAAAAATCTCAGTTGACACCAGGCCTTCAAAGAATTGTACTTGTGAATGTGAACCAAAATCCTCAGTTGCATTTGAATTATTCTGGTTCCGCTGGAGGCCTTTGGAAATCTGTCAGTGGCTAGATTGACCCTGGCAAATGATACAGGTATTATGGTCTTTAGTGATTTATCAGATATCCTTAATAATAATAATAATAACAAGCACTTCTAAAGCACCATCTATCTAACAAACCATTCCGAGACCCTGTATTATCATTATCCCTGCACATTGGGCTCACACATCATCTGAACATTCCTGAAACCATCTCAACTCCCTGGGGAGTATACTAGCCGCTGCCATTTGGCGCAAATGGCTAAACTACCATATCTGCCCTCACAGGCACCCATTTACTCCTGGGTGGAGAGAGGCACATAGGGGTAAAGTGACTTGCCCAGGATCACCACATGCTGCCACCAGCTGGATTCAAACCCCTGACCATATGATCAGGAGCTACAAACCCTAACCACTAGGCCACATGCAGTATACTTATTGCAATATTGAACCTAAAAGAATATTTGTAAAAACTATACTGGGTATGTTACTTTGGATTTTTCCAGAATCTAAGGAAGGTAAATTTACATTTTATTCAGTCAATTTTGTACAGTGGCTCATGATACTACTCCAAAAACACAGAAAAAAAAATTTCTTCATTGTCATCTATGGAGGGGTGGGCTTTACCTCATGGGCAGGTACACATGCTTTTGGGTTTTTTTAAATAAATACTTTTTGAAACGGTCTAAGAGTCTGAGATTTAATGCATTTCTTCTACTACATTGTACACTACATACAAGCAAGTTCCAACCAAGTTTGATTTAAAATGTTGATCAATCCCAAATGCATGTTTTCAAGGGAGGGTTAGAATACTGACATGAAGCATATAGGTAGCTCTGTCAGAATAATAAATTGGGAATGTGCTGAAAAGTCTCGAAAGTCAAGTTTCCCGATAAAGCGTTTCTCATGAAAATGAATTCATGAAATCAGAACAGAATTTTCGTTTTGTTTTTATGTTCTTACAAGGGCAGTTTGTTGAAACTTCATGAACAAACTCCCAGCAGGCTTTTCATGTCACCTCTCATCACCAGGTTTAAAATACAAATGCATGTTACTTTTCATTTGGCAGATTGCAGAGAACATTTTCTTTGCCAAGATGTTTGCCTGGACTCTCATATCATCTGTTATGTCAACAATGATTGTGAATACAACACTGAACAAACTTGTGGTAAGAAATACTATCTATAAGATGATACCAATGCTGTCAATCGTATATAACTTCATAAATATTCAAACAATCATCAACATTTCAATTATTTTCAAATTGATGAATCTGATTTTCTCTGCTGCTATCGATAATCACAGTAAAGAAACAAGTAAAGCATTAGGAATATAAATGAGTAAAGAAGGCAGACCCAAGGCTGCAATCACTTTTACTTTTATATGCACGTATATTCTCCCCCAAAAAAATTCATTCTACTCATGTCCACAAACACTGAATGAATGTGTTCTTACACATTCATAAATAGTACAAGCCTTTATGTTTTGTCTAAACAGAGGAATCATATGTTCCCATCACTAATTACCTCTTTTTATGTTTTCATTTCAGATGGATATGGAGACAGAGACATCATTTTAAACTCAACATTACCTTCAGTGACAGTAACATCAGCTCATTATCCAAATATGTATCCAGGCAACTCTCACTGCTTGTGGTTTATCACAGCAAACAGCAGGTCTAAAATTGCTTTCCAGTTTTCTATGTTTAATCTTGAGCAACGTTACGATACGGTGACCATCGGTAATGGTCATAATCCTTCAATTCAAAACTCAGAAATTGGTAGTTTCAGTGGTTCTCTGCCCAACATAACAGTCTTTTCCAAAGAGCATACTGCCTGGATGAGGTTTACGACTGATAGCTCTATAAACTACAGTGGATTTTTAGTGTGGATCTCACAAGAAACAGATGAAGGTGAGTGAAAGCTGATGTGACTTTAAAGTAGGTGATAAGTCTATATATGTGATACGTTTGCATGGTTATTTAAATCCTTGTTTGATGTTCGTTTCTTTTCAGTTTCCTGCCAACAGGATGAATTTGAATGTCAAGATAAATCATCTGGCCTAATTTGTTTGGCTGTTGAAACAGCCTGTGATGGTTTCACTTTGTGCCCAGATGGCTCGGATGAGGGATCATGTGGTAAATAATAATTGTCTGCTTCAGTAAAGATCTTTGATGGCTTTTTTAATGTGACCCAAGGAAATCTGAAACAATGCATGATAAGTCAGTTTTTAAGGTTATTCATTAATTGCAAATACCACTAGGTATCATAGTATTTTACCTCTGCTTGGACACTAATGTTTCATTTACATGAGCATGTTGTATGTTCTCTTTATTTACACAAACAGGTAACTGCGGTGCAGAAGTCATTTACATCTACGAAGACCCCATCACCTTAACATCTCCAAACTACCCAGATGACTATCCTAATGATGTCAACTGTGTTTGGCGGCTCATTGGTGAATTAGCAGTCCCTGTTACCATGAGGATTCAGGATTTTGTACTGGAAAATTTCTATGATGTCCTCAAGGTCAGATTTCAGGAGACTGAGCAAGTGGCACAGCCAACAGAGGTTTTCTCTCTAACAGGGGGGAGTGTCTCAAAACAGACTTTTACCTGGGATAGTACAGCTGGAAATGTCTTGCTGGAATTAAAAACAGACCGAACCATAGCAAGGAGAGGATTTTCCATTACAATAGCTCATTATCACAACTATACAGAGGATGAAGATTTAGAAGGTAGGTACACTGTGCACAGTTGTTAACTACATTTTACCCTTTCTTTGCATCAGCTGTCAAGTACCGCTACACATATACATACATGTAGAATTTGATAAAACTCAGCACCTTACAGCATGTTGTGTACATTTTTAATAGTAATTAAGTCATTCTCATTTAATTTTTCCTTTTTCACTAAACTTACACCTGCTGCAATTGTCTTGTTTTGACTGCATGTTTCTAGCACTTTGTGAGGAGGATGAGTTCCATTGTGGGGGTGGTCTCTGTGTTACACTCTCATCAGAATGCAATGGATATCTGGACTGCATCAATTATGAAGATGAAACAAATTGCAGTAAGTCTGTCACTATTTGTCCCCTTAACTGTAATGTCCTGGTATGCAGAATGATTTTCCTGACACATTGACAACACACATGTGCATCAGAGAGAATTTATTTCAAACAAGAATGCACTTACCATAGAGTATGTACCTCAGGTTGGTGTCTTTGGGGATTCCTTTCACATACACTTAGTTAATGAGAGTTAATGAAGAAGTTAGTTCTAGTGCCTTCTGTTCACATCAAATTGAAATCTCCTAAGAGTTAAGTTTTCAAATCTGAAGAAGTAAAAACAAGACATGGCTGCCTCTGTTTAGATAAATATAAGGATAATAGAACGGACAGTTTGGCAGTGATTTTAGTGTTAATCACTGTGTTCAACCTTCTGTGAAAAATCTTCTGATTTCTTAATTTGCAGAATCATATAATACGTGCATTCTCCTTCACAGTAGTCTATTTTTTCTTGCTCGTTCACCAACCCTTGATGACATTACATGTACTTGATCCAGGCAATCACATGTGCATGTGTGTGAGCAACAAGGGGTACTTTGGGGCCCTCTTGTCTGACAAAGAAAATACATGCACATCCTGACTTCTCAGGAGATGGTGGCAGTAAGAGCTGTCTTTCTACCCTGTCCTCTTGGCTGACACTGAAAATACATCCCGACATCTCAGGAGATGATGACAAGAGAGTTCACCTGTCTTTCTACACTGTCCTCTTAGCTGACACTGCAAGTGCATAGTGATATCTCATGAGATGGTGACAGTAGAGTTCACCCATCTTTCTACATGACATCTCATCATGAGATGGTGACAATAAAGTTCACCTTTCTTTCTACACTGTCCTCTTAGCTGAAGTGAAAGTGCACAGTGACAGTTGATATGTTTCGTGGTGTTTCATTATCTTAGCCAGTTCATTGTGCTCAGAGACTATAGTTAGTACTTGTTTGATGGCTCTTTCCCTCGATTGTGTAATTCTATGAAACCTTAATTGTTACAATGCCATTTGATGTGTTACAATGCAGGCGCAATACAAGAACATTATTTTGGGTTTTTGTTATTTTGAATTTATAGATGATGTGTTCTGCCCAGATTCCTACAAGTGTGATAATTTCAACTTAAGTGTGACAGCCAACCCAACTCAAACCCATCCACCCCACAGTACTACAGATTCTTCAGATTACAGTTCACATCCATTTTCATCTGACTTCTCTTCCTCCGACGATGGCTACCTTCCACAGGCGCAATGTATTCCACTGGTCATGGTTTGTGATGGAATGATGAACTGCCCTAATTCTGATGACGAAGTCCAATGTGGTAAGAGGGTTTAGACAAGATGTGAGACTGTGTAGGAATACAGCTAGAGTCTTCTCGAAGAAGTGACACTATGATCTAGTGACAAGAATTGTGAAATGGTTTTCGGCTGAACAGATCAATGATACATGTAAATTTAAATAAATTTTTAGTTATCAATACCTAATATTATGTTTACTCTGCTGTCTTCAAATCAAACAAATGCCTATCAAACAAGTTTTACATTTCTGCTTGAACACCACAGATTTGAAACGTTGCCCTGCTGGTTGTATCTGCAGCTACAAAGGTACAGATCTGGTAGTAAATTGCAACAATGGCTGGAATTCTACAACATTAACAGATCTGGCACTAACCACACATACTCTGTAAGTTGCACTTTCATATGCAAGATGGGGTGCTTGAAAATTCTGGATTAACTTGCTCTTACCTGAAATTAAAAATGAGTTAACCAGTGTATTAACTGTCAGATGCCCTGATTGTGAACAAAGAGTAAAGTATCCAGATAGTAAAAAACTTGCAAATTTGTGTGGTATAGAAACTGTAAAAAATACATTGTACAAAGCTTATAGTTTCCACAAAAGAATCATGAGGCACTGTGTAACATTGGTTTGTAATTTTTTTCACTCCATAGACAGCTATCAGGAGTCAACATTGGCAGGCTGGAACAAGGACTATTCAAGACATCATCATACCTGAAAGTGTTGTGAGTTGTAGAAATATTTCTTGTATTTTGAAAATTTGGAGTTTTTCCAGAAGGTTCAGAAGCCAATACATAATAAAAAGAAATCAGTGAAGAATTGAGTTGCAGAGGTGTAAAAAACCCCAAAGGAGTGTTGTAGATAACCCAAAGAATTATAAAGCATGCCACCCTGGATAGAGACATTGTACCTGGATCACAGCTTATGGTTACCCTGTCCTAAATAGCCTCAACTAGTTAGTTTCAAACATTTCTCGTGATTACTTCAAACAATATTATTTGGCACCTTTGACAATACCTTCATAGCATAACATATTTTGGCACTCTTGTCAGTGAAATCTTTAAATTACTAACAATTGTAGACATTATCCGTCTAATTTTTGCCAGAGATTTTAATATAGACCACCTCAATTCTTCAATAGGTCTTTGAGAAACAATCTCATATCAGAGATACAGGAGGACACGTTTGATGGATTGGATAATCTTTTGTGGCTGTAAGTAAATCCTTACTCATCAAATGCTTAATCTTATTTGATTTTGTACTTTTACCTTGTGTGGATCACTGCTTAGCTGAAAAAGAATGATATTTTGGTGGCGTAAGTGGCATCCTCTCAATTTTCCCTCTGTACTTTTAAAGCAAGTAGTATGGCAGGTACCACTGTGACTCTCTTGAAAGGACAGTGGAAAATCCATTAAAGATTGCAGGTTTTTGAAGAAAAACAAGATCAAAACATGTACATGTAGGCTGGCAATTGGGCAGTGTCTCTAAGCTAAACATTGCATATTTAAGATATCCTATTTCATTCTAATATCAACTATTTGTTCTATTAGATCCTTTAAATACATGTATTTCTTAATTGCGAATGTAATTCCCTATGTCTTCCACAGAGATCTGTCAAATACATCACTGAATGAATTGCCAGGGTTTTCCTTGTCACACCTATCCAGTCTACGTGGAATGTAAGTTTATGTTGTTAAAAAAAAATATTTGAGCTATACTCCAACACTTTAACCAATAAGTTTGTGCAGATTCAAACCTTAAATGTACTGTTATCTTTAGGAGCTATAACATCCAAATAAAGTGCAATGTACGTTGACAGTATCAACTAAAGAATGTGAATGACTAAACGAACGGCTTAATGTTTGAGTCTAATATCATACTTCATACACTATTAAATCCAAACAGGAGCACTGGCTCTTTGAATAAAGATGATCCTCTCTCATTGCTCTGTCAGCTTACATATTGCTAATTGTACACTGTACATTTGTCATTGAGACTTTATTGATATCTAAAATGACCTTATTATTTCTGTTAATTTTCAGCACAATATTTGATGTGCCTCTGAAAAGAATCAAGACAGAAGCATTTTATGGACTTTCCCTTGTGGAAACACTGTAAGTATTTATTTGAGATTTCTTGATCAACTGAAACAAATTGACAGAGGTAAATTTATGCCAAAGTGTCCTTATAAGCAAGATTTTAATCATACGGAAAAATCTGAGGAAATATGGAGAGCCAGAGGCAAAATCAAATAATCCGAGTATAATGTATTTCATTGACAGCTACTTTACAACAATGTGCCTTTACAAGAAAGATTTTAATCATAAGGAAAAATCTGAGGAAATACGAAGAGAGTTAATGGCAAAATCAAATAATCCAAGAATAATGTATTCCATTGGCAGCTAAAGGTGCATCAGATTTGTGGCAGATATCACTCCTATTAAATGTAAGCATTAAGGAAAAGCTTTAGTTTCTGTGAGAGTCTGTGTTATTTTACACTGACCAGTATTTAGTTCTTTGAAATATAATTTCTCTGATCGACATATTCTCAATGCTATTGTCTTTCAGAATAATTGTACGCAACATAAAAGGCCTACCACCACTAGAAATAGAAGAAGATGCTTTTATTGGTCTTGAGCGTGTATCAAAATTGTAAGTATGGTACTTATCCAACTTTGGAATATACTCCGCCAGCAGTACTGTAACTTGTCAACGGTCTGTCTTCACTGTTAACTTACCATGTGAGTTTCTGTGCTGTTCTGTTCATTTTTGGAAAATTACAAATTTCCTGAAGCACAGTCTCTAATCAGTCTGCAGTAAAAAGCTAAACTACTCATTGTTCTAATGGCAACTCAGCATTAAAAGGTTTTCATCTTTTCTGTCTGTACTCCATAGATATGTGGATGACCATCGACTGTGCTGTTTCATTCCCTCAGCTACTGAATGTACAACACTAGAACCAGAGCCCCCACTCTTTATGTGTAGTGAACTCATGCCAAACACTGTTCTCAAAGTCTTCATGTGGATCCTTGGTATCAGTGCCCTCATTGGTAACATTTTTGTCATGGTGTGGCGATGTCAAGAGAAAACAGGAGGGAAAACAAGTCGGAGAGTTCATTCCTTCTTGGTGTTTAATCTGGCTGTGTCCGATGCCTTGATGGGGCTGTATATGTTGATTATCGCCAGTGCTGATGCCTATTTTGGCGAGCGATATTTTGAAGTATCTATGGAGTGGCGTACGAGCATTTTGTGTCAAGTTGCTGGATTTATTTCTATTGTTGCCAGTGAAGCTTCTGTATTCTTTCTTACCTTCATCAGTATTGACCGGTTTCTTTCCATTCTCTTCCCATTTAGCAGCTATCGTTTCCGCCCTAAGTCCGCTCGCATTGTTGCCATGTGTGTTTGGATTGGTACAGTCATCATTGCAATAGTTCCAACCATACTAGCCTCTGATGCCACATCTGATGTATATGGCCTTTCAGATGTATGTATTGGATTACCACTGATGACTAAAGTCACACATTATGAGACAGTAGACCAACAAATTGATGCAGGGGGAGTGGCAAACATCACTGTCAGTATTCCATATCCTGCTGATTATCAAGCATCCTGGTTCTTTTCCATTGCTCTTTTCCTGGGTGTAAACCTGCTATGTTTTAGCATAATTCTCATTTGCTATGTTTCTATCTTCATTCGAGCCAAGTCTTCTGTAAAGCATTTGCGTCGTCACAAGAAACAAAATGATGAAGTTCGTATGGCTATCAAAATGGCAGCCATTGTTTCAACTGATTTTGTCTGCTGGGTACCAGTTATTATTATGGGCATTCTATCTCAGGCTCGTGTGGTGGAGATACCTACAGAAGCTTATGCATGGACTGTGGTTTTTATTCTTCCCATCAACTCATCGCTCAATCCTTACCTCTACACAATCTCAGATCTCTGTTGTCAACAACGAAAGGAAACCTCTGCAAAGAACACAGATGTACCAGTGAAGACTTTGAGTTCAGAGAATCGAATCAGTGTACTCAGCCCTGATGACAGTCTTGCACATTAGGAGGGTTAAAGTATGAGCAAGGGAGTACATCACAAGAAATAAAAACTTGATGCTTATGGGTTGTGCCAGCAATGGGCCTGTGTGTACTTACAACCTGAATGACCTCGATTACTGAAATTGATTAACAGGTAAATATGAATATAAGACTTTGCCTACCCTGTACTTATTACCAACAATATGGGGAAAGCCATCAAATATAGTTTAAATTTACTTGAAAGAGCTTGAAGGATGTAATTGTGTAAAGAAACATCTTAAATTCCGATTATCTTGTAAAGATCATGTACATGTAATGCCAACTGTTTCTTAAGTAAGATTTGAAACTTCATGTGGAGAAGGCTAGACAGAAGGAAGATTTGTGGGTACACCATCAGGAATCGCTCTCTTCTATTAAAGTGGTAGTTTTGAGAAGAACTGGTGAGTGTGAAACTCACATTTCAACCAGGATGCTCTGGTTGTCGTCTCCCCTCCTGAGGATGACCAGATCATCCTCAATGAAATGTCAAGTTCACACTCACCTTGTTCTTCTCAGAGCTTAGGGAAGAGATGGATTACACATGGAGAATGGTTTCCTCCATCAAGAGGAAGCTCAAGCTGTTGCTCCTTGTCTATTATGGCAAGTAAGTGAAAACTGATTTACACCATTATTAACCCCTTGACAATGGGAATTTCTTCCCGAAAGCCGACTCCAAGAATTCCAGCCTCACTTGGCCACAAAGGCCACCTGCCAAACCGCAAATTCTCGGTTTGTGGCCCTGCGTGCTCTGCACAATTTGAATTACACGGTGAAAAGGTTGATTGTTCGGTGGCATGCGACTCTACTCACCCTTCCACATTCCCGTTGCCTCTTTTCAAAGTGGGGACTATTGTGAAGCTGGTGATTATGATGCAAAATCGGTCTTTTCATTTCTGGGCTACGCACAAGGACCAATTACCATATATACAAGAGCCAGAATCTGCCTCTTTTCACCATGTTCACTCGAGCGTGGGCCGAGAATAATAGCTGAAAAGCGGGCTGAGGATCTCAATTTTTACAGCGGCAACAGCCGCCTCCCGGTGTGAAGGGGTTAAAAATGCTTGAACATATTTTTTTAAAATGGCAATAAATGCAAAACATTCTATCACATACACCAAATTCAGTAAGACAAGAGCAGTTTAATGGTGTACTTTCAGTGTAACAGATTTAATTTTCTGTGTAACAGCTTTTGCATTTGTTATGAAGTCAGTTAGTGTTGTTTAGCATTGGGATGGTGACAAGAAAATATCTACATGTATTCCATGCATAATCTGACAGTATTGGGTAATATATAAAGAATGAACATTAAAGATTTCAAGAAGAATGTAAATGAATATTTTATGGAAAACTAAAATAAGTCTATGCATACAGGTAGGTTTTATATTTGTATTATTGTAGAACTCAGAGAATCATATGGTGAGAATTGTTTGAATAAAAACATGAATGTCACCTAAAGTCTAGAATCTACAAGCAGTTTGTTTCATTTCTACTAAGTCCTGTCCAGCGTCATTCACTCCACCAATGGGACCTCGACCCCATCAAGTACAAACCAGTGCCATTCACCACAACCATGGCCCTAAGTCCCATCAAGTGCCAACCACAGTGCTA